TGGATTTTACATTTACGGTTGTTGTAACTGATTGTCATCGATCGTTTCTTTTTCCTCATCCGTGGTTGTCAAGCAAACAGTTGAAACAGTATCGTCTGATTCTGATGCGCTCACAATTATCGCCAGATTCGCAGGCTCTAATGCTGTACTGCAACAGAAAAAAAAAACATTCATTAAGATAATGCACTCGCACAAAGTGTAATTTTACAAGCCAGACTGTCTAAATTGGCGAAAATGTTTTTTTTTAACAATTACATACAAGCGGATGGATGAAGCGGATAATGGAATGGTACCCAAGCACGGTAAAGTGAACATTGAAGAAGCCACCAGTGAGGTGGAGAGACCCCATGGTACGCTTGTACGGTACTACGTAGCCTCGGAGAGGGTAACAACTAGTCGAATGGAGAAGTTGCCAGATGCATCGATGGGACGACAAAGAATGTCGATGACATACAGCTACCCAAGTATTCAAGTAGTACAGACAACCTAAATAATACAGAATCTTCTTCGCAAAACGTAGTCTTTTTGTGCAAATGTATGGATCAGGAAGAGGACACTAAGTCGCCTGTCCTCACACGTTCGAACGCGATATGCTAAACCTTCGATCACGGGCTCACGCTGCAAGGAAAAGTTTGGAAGTTTGGAAGCAGACCCTAACTTCTAAGTTAGAGTCTGCCAGATTACGCAAAATACACCTTTCTTATATGCTGCCCCACAACAATCTATACTTTCTATGGCGATTTTTTATTGTCGGCTTTCCGTGATAATCTCGTGTGCTTCTATCGGGAGAACCGCCTTCAGAAAACGAAACGAACGCCAGGATCGCCAGCAGAGTGACTGCTAGGCGGATGCAGCACTTGGTCAAAGCAACTGGAAATGTTGCCAGCTGCACAACTGAAGAAGCAGACTATTATAATTATAACTGTTGCAAATATTTCAAATATATCTCACCTAGTCTAATTGCGAAAAATTCTCAGCGACCGAACTGCAGCCACTTAGAAAAAGATGCTCTCAGGTACAACTTGCGAACTAGTGATACATGCTAGCGATAGAAACAGAAGATAAGAACTAGCGACAATTAGCCCAGGATGTAAGATATCTGTACAAACGTAAGGGAAGGGAGCAGGACTGGAGTGGGGAAGAATGGCACAAACAAATGTGTTCAAAAAATGAAGCCAAAAAAATGAAGTCAAAAGAAATGGAAAAAAATTCAAAATGCAAAAAAAAATGAAAAAAAAATTCAAAATCTGGAAAAAAACATACTTCTGCTCTACTCGTACACTTTCATCAGGTCCGCTGATGCGAACTTCTTCAAACGGAACATCCTGAAATTAAATATGTGCAAAAAAGGTACACAACAAATGTGGTACGAAATACAGGAAGTGATAAAACGAACAGAGCGGATCATTACTACCCGAAGTGTTGGACGGACACTGAGACGAGCAGGCGGAAAGATTCGTTTGAATGATTATACGGAATTATGTAAATCAGAGAAGCTCGAAGCAGGAGAAGAATGGAGAAGCTGCAAGCTACACTGACGATGAAAAGAAACAAGATAATGAAATACTGCCTAGTCAATGTAACAATCTAGGACAATTAAAACACATGGCTCCTGGAAAGCAATTAAACATCAGTGACGTGAACGGAGCTCCTTCTCAAAAACTGTTCTGGACCAGGAGGGAATCGAACCACTCCTCCTTACACCCTAACACAATGTGTTACCCACTACACCATCGGTCTCTGCACCGAAGTCCAGCCTGCCAGCACATCTACTGTGTATCTACCTTTCAAGCCAAGGTACCTTTCTTTTCTTCTCTTTTTCTTTGTGGCGCCTTCTTAACTGGCTTTTCACCTGCTTCCCGCAGTAAACAGGCTCCAGAATAACAATTTCGTCTTGCTACTGCAAGAAAAAAAAACATACATCGTCAGTTGGAAGATCCGGAGGAATAATATGCTGCGAATCTTGCTCTGTACCATCTGCATTTCCGGAAGTTGCCGGATGACGACATCTTCCGGCAACCATACTTCTTCCAGGGTGAACACTATCCGCCGCTGTTGGCATTTGTACCTCATGCAGCTGCTCCTCCGTACCAGAAGATTCAGCTGCAGCCTACAGTAAATCAAAGCCGGTACAGCTGAGTTAGCAAGAAAGTGCTAAAAAATCCTAGACATTTAAGCTCCTAAATTTCAAACAATAGATAAAAAAACTAAACATCCTTAGATAAATTTTCTTTCTAAAAGGACGATTCCGCAAAATTCGCATTATTTTAGGCATCTCTGGAACTAGTTTTATAGAAATTTCCCGATTTCAACTTTTCTTCAAAAAAAAAGTTTCGAATTACTGAAAAACCTAGGACGTCCATAAACGATGGAATACAGAAGGAAGTTACGACTTCATCCCAAAATATCGTAGAAGGAGCAACAGAAACTATTATGCTATCTGTTAGCTCAAAATTCCAATAATATCAAAATCTTTCGAGCAACTAATGTAGGTACTTCATGCCAGTGATATTACTGACATGCTCCCTTATATGCCTGGTGTTGCTATGCCAGACCTTTCGATCCTGGGCTGCATAGCATTGGTTCAACAAAAACGATCAACTTTTTCGAAAAAAAGACCACGTACACAGAAATTTTCGTTACTTTCATCAAAACCACCATTCTCTGCTGCAAATGGTCGTGCTGCAGCATCGGGCTCAGTTTCGCATGCCTTAAAAATCAAATTTGAAAAGACAAAAAAAAAAAAACGCTTTTATGAAGAAAAATAAGAAAAACAGAAATAGCAATGTGAGTAACTGGATTGCAGCGACAACAAATCATATGAAACATCCCAGGTGCCAGATCAAAAAAAGATCCCATATCCCAAACCAAATTGTGTCAAAACCAAAAAAAATCCTTCCGTAGAGGCACTAGGAAGTAGCCCGGGACCAAATTGTGCCAAAAGCAATTATCCGCTGGCAAAGCTATTGATGGCTCTTTTTCTTGAAGGTTGTTTAGAAGCAAACTGATGGCGAGTTTGACTTCCTGGCATATACCAGTATCTATCAATCCATCAAAATCAGTAAATGAGTTGTAAAAAGAACTGATTGAGGGACTCGAACCTTTTACTTTCAGCCTGAGAACAATGCTACTTGCCACTGTATCAATTATCACAAACTGTTATATCTGTGCGACAAATGCAATCATAGTTTTTTTTTAATCAAACTCGAAATAAAGCAGGATGGTAAAAAATTTCAGTTGTTTTGGCCAAAAGCGATTT